TGGAAGTATTTAAAAGACGTGTAGATGAGGCACTTAGGGACATGGTTTAGTGGGCATGGTGGTGTTGGGTTGACGGTTGGACTCGATGATCTTAGAGGTCTCTTCCAACCATAATGATTCTATGATTCTCTGTCATTGCCTACTACAGATGAAGAGAGAAAATGGGCAGTTGGGAGGACCTCCTCCTCCAGGGAATCATTTTGCTGGGCAGCTTTAAAGAAAAAATAGCTGCAGAACTATGGGATACCCGGCATCCCTTAGGGCTAAGAGAGAAGAAATGGGAGATGGGTGACTATCCTTCCAGGGTAGCAGAAGGGCACAGTGACTGCAGAGCAGGTTTCTACTACACCTACTGTGTGTGCTGTCTCCTAGCTGCCCAGCACTTGTCTAAGGCAGGATCTCATCCTGTAAAGGCTTAGGGAAACACCACTCTGCAGGACATCACAAACTCATGCTGCAGAGAGAGATCCTCAGAAGCTTTGCAACCATCTGTGGAAGATCCTAAATCCTAATGGCAAGAGGAGCGATACAAGAGAAGTGAGGCTTCATATGCTTTTTTAATAAGGTGCCTGGGATTTGACACTGCAATTTGGACTAGCTCCTATTCCACAAGCTTCTGACAACCTTACCAGGAAAGGAACGCAAGGGAGTAAAGGACACAGCATATCGCTAAGATGGCTGTATTATATCTCGCAGTATTAAGGAATAAGAACTCAAAGTACAAGTGTCATATATTTCCATCGTAAATGGGGCTTATATTTCACAAAGCAGCATTGCAGGAGAGTAGAGTGAGTGAGTTGGTTCATATCCAATCATTATATATCTTTCTGATGGTACCACAGTGCTGGATAAATACGTATGAACAGGGAGGCCTCTTAGCTACCACTTGGACAGAATGCACTTAGCATTTCCTCAACACATTTTATCTAGTCTTGTTTATATGGAGCCAAGTCCCAGGAAGTTTCTGCCCCCTACCTCCAAAGGGTTAGAGTCTCAACAGTGACTAGAAGCAGTATCCAAGAAAATTATTCTATGGTGGGAGGCTCGCTGCCATTATCTGAGTCATTAAACCTGTTGCCTCGAGATAGGCGTTCCAGAAGTCACTGTTATATCAGGCTCACAAATGTATTTTGCATGACAATGAAGCATTACTAAGCAAAGTGCTGTACTAAAATGGGTGCAAGACAGCCCCAGAGCAGCCATGTCAAGACTTTCATTGCTCCTCTGGGATGGGACTCAGCTCAGTCCCAAAGGTGTTAGTGGGATAGGCTGTCCATGGAGATGCAACCAGAGTTTGTTTTATTGTTTTCTATAAATGCTCCCATTATGCAAAAACCTTTATATCATTTATCCCCTTGTCTTAGTGTGGCCATTTCATCCTGTTCTACTTATTTCTAAGGGAACACTGCTTCCTTGGAAGGCCAGGAAGCACGGTATGCCTGCTACATTAGCCGTCATCCCAGCTCTGCTCATGCCTTCCCCTGTGGCTTTGCATAACCAACTCCGATTTCTTTTCTTCTATCTACCAAGGTGAGTTGTGAGGCTTAATTCACGTTAGGCTAACACTGTGTAGCCTTTGAAAGAAAGGACTGCTTCTAAAGGCAGAGTAATACCATGGTGCCAAGTAAATTTTAATTTAACAGTTATAGTAATATCTTCTTTGATAGCCATTAAAACTAGGATAAATTGAGGCAGGTTTACATTGAAATCTAAAGCCTATTTTGTGGGTGGAAAAACTTACCCCTCATGATTCAATACTATAAAGTGGGATTGTTCATTCCTGTGAGCCCAATTTGTTCAGCAGCTCTTAATGCAAATATGTTGGCTCACTCAGAAGATCTGTCACTTTTTGCTTTTAAGTATCTGTCACTTGATCCACACAGACAGGACTTCTTTTTATTCTGCCCTAGAAATTCTTCAGCAGAAGCCACTTGCTTTGTTGTCCCATCTCAGCCAACAAGTGCTCAGAGGTGAAGGAAAAGTGGCAAATGACAGTCCCAATAAAGAACAGAAGTGGAAACAAGGAAACACCCTCCTAGCTCTCTAGAGTTCAGGATTCCTAAAACCAACATGGTGAGTGTGTTCATGCCACACCCCTTGCCGTGGTAGGCTCCATGGGTTGTTCCTAGCACCAGACTATGAAGCAACTTACATTTCCCTTTAAAACACTCCTCCCTGACACTTTTTTTTTCATTTTACATTCATGTAGTTACCTTTCCTCTGGAGGAAAAGGTACAGAATAATACAACGATTAGAAAAGAGTAAGGAAAAATGGCATGAAAGGCATGACTGCCTCTTGAATACCTATGTTCATCTCTGTGAAAGTGTGAAACGTTACTAATGAACTGCATGGTGTTACAGAACCTCTTTATGCTCACTTCAGAATGCTGGAAGTAACTATGAGCTGCCATCAGCTGGTGAACCACGTCTTTGACAAGTAAATTTTCAAATTACTTCATCCATTTGGGGTTTTTTTAAATGTTTAGAAAGAAAAGTATAAAAAATACAATATTTTTAAGTTAAATTGTATATATAAATCATGTAGTTAAAGTAAAAGTGTAGGTGCAGGTGACATACACAAAAAATGTGTAGCAAAGTGATACAGAGAAAGGGGAAGTATCTTTAGCTAAGCTCAGCGGCCTGGCAGCCAGGTGCCAGGGCACCTTGTTGTCATTTTAGTTTTATTTACCAAAGCAGCAAGAAAGACAACCCAGAACAAGAGAAAGCGTGGAGTATTGGGAAACTGACCCCTCCAAAAGGAATGGACGTGTCCAATGACATGCAACTCTTCATACATAAAAAGTAGAAATAATCTAATCTAAAGTAATAGTAATCGTTTAATTACAAGACCTATAATGACTGCTCAGAGCGCTCAGAGTGATTACTTAAAAATACTATTCTGGAATCCCTAGGTGGGCCACAGTAAGTAGCTGTAGGTGGTGAAAGTTAATTTCAACCCCAACTGGCTGGCTCCCAACCATCAACTGGGCAATTGCCTTGCCCAGGCAATCAATGCCAATAACTGCTTACAGTATGTACTGAAGCACTTAGAGCCAAAACTGAACGGAAAGTCCATGGGCACATACAATTAGAAAAACATAATCATAAATCCACTGGCACTAAAGAAAAACCTCTTATCCAGAATATCCTAGGATGCTTTAGCAACTCTACAACTTTGGTGTCTAAACTGAAATAAAAACAAAATATTTAAATCAGAGTAAGTAAACACATGAATGAGAATATTGCTATTTAAACAGTGGACCATTCACATCACAGTGGTTTTAAATAACGCCTCTTGTCACAAAGATACATCCTTATACGCATGCACATGTATGCATTTATATGCACACAGACATCATACTGCCACACACAAGTTCTAGCTTCCTGCCTCCTTTTGTCACCTCTTCCACGATTTTGATGTCTGTCTGGAAGTTCACGTCACTGTGAGTTAACCATTTGCAGACAGATCATTCATTTGCAACATTTACTGCTATTTGGACAGTAGACATTTTCCTGAGCAGTCACAGTTACGTCATTTCATGAGTTCCTTCTTTCAGAAAAATTCTTCCTTAGTCAAGGCTAAGTAACTCTAGCAAGTTTTGTAAGTGGGAATGAGCCCCTTTAGTTCCACGTCTCTGTTTAACCATTACGTCCTTGGACTTGGCCTCTTCAAGCAAATTTCCTACCACTGCCTGCCCGATTCACTAGATGAATGCTCTCCTCCTACTTACAGAAAAATGCACAGCTGAATTTCAGGATTTTTTTTTTTTTTTTTTTTTTTTTGCATTACAGATTTCCTTTAAAAAAATCCCCAGCACCATTTTGTTTTTTATTTCACGGAATAACTGCCCAACCTGAAACCACACCATCCCATGAAGTAGCCGCTGTTAATGGAAGCCAGGTACTGGCAACAAATCCATCCTCGAACAAATATTTACAGAAATCGGCTCCGGGGGAAGGGGATCACTCACACCACCGCGGCCGGAAACCCGACCTCCCCCTTCCTCAGCAAAAAACCCCCAAAACTGAGGTAAAAAGGTAAAGAAACGCACCCAGCGCTCACCGGGGAGTAATCCGGGACTCGGCTCCCCCCTTCCCTTCCCACAGGGAGACGCTGAGGAGCGGCGCCCAACGGTTTTTAACCGCCTTCCGTTGCGCCCGTTGCCCAACGACCGTTGCGCGGAGGCGCGCGCGGCTCCTCCACACGCGCGCGCGGGAACGCCTCAGCCCCTTGTCCCTCCGCTTCGGGCTCGCCGAGGGGCCGGTACCGGCTGGGGGACCGCACTACCGAGGCCGCGAGCGGCCG